TGAATTGGACACATAATTAACCCTCTTTGGTATATACATATCGGAGGTAGGTAATGGGATGTGAATATTTTCACGTGCATGACAGTAAAGTTACCTCCTATGTTATTACATTTTTGAAAAAAGAGATGCCACATTCTCTTTTTACAAATATTTATTAATATGTATATGTTCCTTTTGCTCAAGACAGCACAAGTTACGTCTCAAAATAAAGGAATTAATTTAAGAAATAATTAACCTTCTTGGGTAAATACATGTGGGAGGTAGGAAATAAGATGTCTACATGTTTACGTGGATGACAATATAGTTAGCTCCTATGGGATTTTATTTATGAAAAAAAGATGTTACATTCTCTTTTTACAAAATGGGTAAGTTCATTTTGCCCAAGGCAATACTAGAATAAATAACCCGATGTTTTCGGTATAATAATGGTAGGTCTTTGCAATAATTTCTAACTGCTATTGTAAAAAATCATCACAATTCATGACTTTAAAAATATAATGATTTTTACGTTTCTATCATCATTAAATTTTGAGAGGTGTTTATCTGCTATATATTATACGCCTACCCTTCTCCCTTTCACGCTCCTAAACTACTTTTTCCCTTCTAATCATGACCTTAAATTACCCGGTCTAAGTAATCACTAATTATATGATGTCCTGTCTGAAACAAACATGTGTAGCGTCCCAGCCATGTTAATCCAAAGACGCCTCCGCTGGCTTGGACACGTCAAGCGAATGCAATCTGGTCGCTTACCAAAGGACATGCTATACAGTGAGCTGGCGACAGGGAAAAGGTCAGTTGGACGGCCTCGTCTGAGATACTTAGACATATGCAAAAGAGACATGAAGTCCTCTAACATCGACATCTCAAACTGGGAGGAGTTGGCAGAGGGTCGATCCTCATGGCGGGGCATCGTGAAGGCAGGATCACTACATGCCGAGGATCAAAACAGGGCGGAAACAGCTGCAAAAAGAGCGAGGAGGAAGGCCGGTAAATACTGCTCCACTGCATTCGTGTGTGGGAAATGTAACAGAGACTGCCATTCGAGGATTGGTCTCACCAGCCACACCAAGAGCTGCAAACAATAAAGATAATCTATCGTCTCCCGCAGACGGAAAGAAGCCATACATACATACATACATACATACCCTTAAATATCAAAACCCAATAATTTTACACACTTGAAAAAGCAATTATTTAAAAAATAGTGATGGGTTGATATTTACTTTCAAAAAAATGAAAATGTAATTTTGATTTTACTTTGCAAAAAGTAAAGAGGTGTGTATTCTTATGAGATGAAGAATTTAATTTTTTTTTAAAAGATACTCAAGTCTGTTTTAGGTTTGAACAATGGTTTGCGAGATTCTTCTTTAGATCAAATAAGTCTTTGTTTTACGAGTCTCTAATAATATATAATTTTTTTAAAGACATAAATATGTTTAAATTTTTTATGAAGATATCAATACATATCGCTTTCCTGTCATATAAAATATACTTATATCATATATATAGTTTTTTATGTAAATTTAAGATTAGTTTTTTAAAACAATTCTTAGAGAAAAAAAGTTGTAATTCCAGGGCACGGAAAGGGTTAAATCTAAAGTATTGCTCTAAGGTAGTGATTGTCATTTATTCTTGTACATTATAACCACCGTTAGTTTGATACGTGTAGTATTAAGGTATCGCTGTGTGTTGTTTTAAAGACAAAAGCAAATTGTGGAATGTCTAATTATATTGATACATCGAGTAATATTACCCTAAAATGTGCACCATTTCCTATGTGAGAATTGAGCACAAAGAAGGAGAATCAGCCTACTACCCATATTTCAAGTATATTACCTGGTTGTATACTGTTGTATCAATAGCTTATAAGTAGATAGCAATATATGTAACCAGAACGATATAAGGGTTGCGTATTATGCGCACACACACTGGTATCTTATTGCATTTCAGAATTCAGTGAATGGGGGCACACCTTCTAGGGGCCAACGCCGGGTCTCCCCAAAGCCAGACCGTGCGGAAACACGTCGGGAATCCCCCCCCCCCTGGCCTAGGGGACGTGCGGTCGACTGAAAACGCTACGTTTAACGCGTTCGCGGTCCACTCTCCTTGGGTCTGACCGGTTTTGCTTCCTCTCCGGGGGAAATGTGTTGCGTTATCTCCCCCAACCGCCCAGGGAGTTGTTCTGTTGGGACTTAAGCAGGGAAGAAACGGTCGCCTAGGAGCGGCTTCCTCAGGGCCGCGTAACTAAAATCATCGTCAAGGGTTTTGGCCACCACCCAGGCCTCATATCTATTAACGGCAACAAGTCATCATGTTATTGCGTTCCTCCCGTTGCGTTGGGAGTCATGCAAGTGGCCGGGGTTTTTAAGCTTCGGGAGAAAACCTCCCTACTTGTCTGCCATACCACAAAGAGGCAAAACCCCATGTGGACGCCCCCAAGTTTCCTCGGAGACGCTCCGCTTTCGCGGACAGTCTTCCATTACTAAACCTAACAATGGCATACTACAAACACAGAAATATATAGGTTTATTTGCGTCTCCTCACAGAGCGTCCAAATGGGCCACTGTCAACATTCACACACTTCAGGGATGCTGTTAAAACCTCGAATCAAAACCCTTAGTACCCGCCCGTAAATTGTAGCGCGCGAACAGACTAGAGAGCAAGTACGTCACACCAAGACAGTCTACTACTTGTCTTACATTTCCTGTGGTGAAGTGACTAATCCAGGGGACTAAACCCTGAGTCAAAGTCAAAATTTGGACCAAATCCCTAAAGACTTTAATGTGTCCTTTTCAGTTTTGTCTCAGCTATCTGTGATACTATATTATATTTCTATGAGTTGAATGGTTTTTGAGATATTAAAATAAAACTGGTTGGAACTTCCCATGGATGAATGTGAAAACTTTCTTAATTATTTAATGTTAAAATATCCTATAACGATGGAGACTTGTAAATATACTAAGGTATAGTGAATAAACTCCCCTTTCCAACTAGTATAATTCATAGCATGATACACTAGGGTTCCAGAGAAATAAATTATTGAACTTATTACTAAGCATATCTAGTGGTTCCCAGTTTTTAGGTATTCTACGCGATGGGGGAGAGACGCCGGAGTAATCCGGAGGTTAGCACTAACCCGAAGGTCAACATTCCAATGCATTGTTGGGTGAGGTCAAATCCCAATACAGTTTTGGGAGCAAACACTGTTTCGTAAAAACGTGGTCTTTGCTGCCACACATGGATACACATTTTCACCAAGACAGCATATTTTAAGTCGGAACAATTTACACATTAGACCTCTTATGGATTTTTTCAGAGCAAAAGTCAACACCGTTAGACCGTAAAACCACACTGCCATAATGAAAATATTGACTAAAGAATTGTTTGATTTTGTAAAACCACGGGAGCTTGTAAATTCAAGCAGATTGGGGAACAAATAAATACATGTATATATCTTTGAATCCTTACTATAAAGAAGATAATTCGCCCGGAACGAGATGTTTTAGATCAGGCCCGCGTAACTCAAAATGTAAGGTGGACCCTAATACTTTATGAAAAACTTGTGCGGGCCAAAATAAAATAGGACAGGGGGAAATCTATTAAGAAAATTATTTTAAAAAAATATTTCATTACTTCGTGGGCCACACAGTGGGTGCTGGCGGGCCACACGTGGCCCACGGGCCGTATGTTGTGCAGGCCTGTTTTAGATGATAAAACATATCTCTACCACAATAGAGTAGTTCCTATTGTATTCAGACTTTGAATATCTACACAATATTTAATTAGTTCATCCTAAACACCCAAACACTTATGAAATAGTTACAATTTTCAAAATTAACTTGGAAAAAATGAAAATAGACATGAAAATCCCGGGAAGTGGGGGAGAGAGACTGAAGATAACTAGTAAGAAATTGATTGATTAATTCCAGAGTTGTAGACAAGAGCAGCGATCTGAGCACCGGGAGCCAAGCGCAACAATATTTTCGCTATCCTTTTTTTTTTTTTTTTGCAGCTTGCTACGTTACGTCCAAGATGATATATTATCATGAGATCAAAACTGAATAAAATTTTGTCAGAGCGGAGAGTATCTTGATAGTATAGTATAGTAAAGTATACATTTTTTATACTTTAAACATTCATTCCAACAATATTAGAACTCTACTATCTTTTGTTCAAAACACTTCTGGTTACTGTTACAAAATACCTAACATTTGCTTTAATCTGTCCAATTTTGTAAGTGAACACTGAGTCTCAGTTAAACTTATTTTTTCTCAGGTAAAATCTTTCAAAACAAGAAATGATTTCCTGGCTCTGAAGAAGATCCTGCCTGATCTACAGAAGGGCATTGATGCTTCTAGCAATGTTGTAGTACTCACTGAAAGGGGCAATGATCTCATCTTGTATGTTACAGATAGCCGTTCAAATAAGGTAGGGGTTAATATCCTACATAAAGGATTATTTATCAAGCTCTCCATGTCATAAAGATATTCATTTAAGAGCTATTTCAATCGACGATCACGCACGTGCCCCCCAGTTGGTGCTGCATTCACCCCAACAAAGTCTAGGACGGACATCTTTGAAACTGAACGCTACGTCCGGTTGCTGATGTTTTAAGGCCATAGGAGCATTTCCGTACCGGATACAGGTAAGACGACGCTCGACAAAACCAGATGTGAGCCTGGATGATCTATTTTACTCCTTTGACCATTGTGTGGGAGGATTCAATTATTTTAGGAATGTGTGTATTAAAATTTTGCCGTCTTTTGTTCATAAGCTTTCGTTTGCTGCAACATAATAACATTTTTTTCCCTAGCACTTATCAGATGTCGTATAGGCCCAAAAAGCTGAAGGCCAAGCGAATGATGCCCGATCCGCTCCTAGACATCTGTATGCAAAATCTTCAAAATCAATCCCCCCCCCCACCTTGGTGTCTAGGTAATATGTAGACTTCCCTTAGCTATCTTTCAATATGTAAGCAACATTTTGTTTTTCCTTGCAGGTTCCATTTCAAGATTTTATTTCATCCCTGATATTAGAGGAAGAACTAACTCAACTGCCTCTAGAAGACTATCAACAACATAGGAAATGGTTCGACGAGTTTAATGGTGCATATGAATATGGTCATATCTTTGTCAGCGATACTAATGTAAAAATCATGTTCTTATCACATACGAAACAAAAAATGAATGTGATGGTTGAATTGATGAAGTCGAAAATAAAATTAACTACACTTAATGAAGGTAAATTGAAAGCTAAAGACTGCAGCTCAAGTGACCATCAGAATCTTATGGAGCCATCAGACAGTGGAAATACAAGGAAATCATTTTCAGAAGATGAGAAGATTACAAATGAGGTTTATTGCTTCAAGCATTCATTTATTTTGTGGCTGCTTCATACGCTGAATTTTAGATCCACTGTTGCAGAGATGTGTCCAACATTAACACTGAATCTTGATGTACTTGGGTTGAAAGTGTTAATCTCAGGGCAAGCTAAAGAAGTGCACGCAGTCAAGCAATGTCTAAAGGAGGAAGATGACAGGGTCAGTCTTAGTTTTCTTGATTATTTCTATTAATTTCCTTTCCTTTTGAATAAAATTTAGTTTGAAATAAATTTGAATGAAAACATATTAAGACCATGTTTTAGGAGTCAATGCTTCTTTAAGACAATATCTGGATCATTAGATTTTTATTTAAACTAATTAATTTTTCTCAAATTATTACCCAAAATAAAAAAAAAAATTGATTTGATTTTTAAATCGAAAGAACTAGTTCAAAAAGTGTTGGGATACCTGCTTCCCTATGCACGTGTAAAGAAAATTATATTGCCTGAAAATATTTTAATATTTATTTACAATGTAGGCAACTTGATGCACCTAGAAGCATTAGGCCTGGCAAGCTATAGCATTATTTATTTTTGCCGATCTCAGATGTTTTTTTTTTTCACCACATATGAGACAGAGATCTAATTTGCGCCTAACCAATTAAAATTTAGTATATGATTAGACTATCTATGACTAAAGGGCTTGGTTGCTCCTTTACCAGATGTGTATGTGGAAATGGGTATTTTGTATTTCCATTGATATTTCTGAGGGCTGAGAGAAACTTGATGTGTACTGCTTAATGTATACTTTACTGGTATTCTTTAGTAGCGTACTGTTTTGTTCTTTTCAGAAAGTGAAGAGTAGTCTTTGCGTTAAATTTTATCTTCAGATTTCTTACAATGAAGATGAGGAGATTTTCCTGCAGAATGGTAAAATCCTACAACAAATAGAAAAAACAATTAAAAGCGATTCAATGCACCTTGTACTCAGTGACAACTTGGAGTGCTTTGTCATAGATCTGGATGATCATCAAGTAAGAATTATATCACTATTTCTTATGTCAACTTTTTAAAAAATGAACTGATTAAAACTTTGAACAACTGACCAGAGGCTACTGCAAATGTTTATTCTTATCAAAACATAATGTTAAGCTTGTTCATTAAAAATAAGAACGGATTACTATTTACTAAATTTGAAATAATAATTTCTTTTATAGGGTTCAACTTAGGTTTTATAAAAATAATTATAAAGTTTATTTCAAAAACACGCTTCATCCCCAAAGGCTAGAAGCACGGTACAAAGCCAAATAATTTACTACATTTAAAACAAACGCAACACTACAAAAACTAATTACAAGTCAAAGACTTTCTACCCATTTCTACCCATTTCAACCCTAAGCAACACAGCCATTATGCATTAACTGGAAAATGTTATAGACAATAATCCCAGAAGGCATTTGCGAAATAGATGTGTCTTTAAATCGGTTTTAAAGGACTCCAGTGTCTGGTTGTTTCTGAGATCGACAGGAAGGGCGTTCCAAATTTTTGGACCAGCAAATGCAAAAGTTCGCTTTCCGTAAGTCTCAAGGCAAACACGTGGTGTCGAGAGTTTGCCACTATCGGATGAGCGGAGCTCTCTAGTGGGTACATAAGGCGTCAGCAACTCTTTCAGATAAGACGGCGCCAGGTCATGTAAGCAGCGGTAACACAAAGTTGCGATCTTGAACTCTATGCGAGCACGCACCGGCAGCCAATGCAACTCTCTCAGAAGTGTTTTTGCATGGTCGAACTTGCGTTTGCGGAGAACAATGCGAGCCGCATTATTCTGTGCTATTTGAATTTTATCCAGGAGCGTAGCTGGAAGACCCACCATGAGAGCATTGCAATAGTCCATGCGTGATAGCACAAATGCAGACATCAACCTCTTTGTTGTATCAATTGTTAGGAAGGGCCTGATGTGACTAATCCTGCGCAGCTCTATAAAAATCGCCTTCCATAGCATGTTAATGTGACTTTCAAAAGTTAGTCTTCTATCTAGGTAGACACCCAGGTACCGCACTGTTTGAGCTAATTCAATACGCACACCCGAGAGAGTCATTGATGTCGTGTTATTTGAATATTTTTGCCTCTGAGCGATCGCGATGGGGAGCAGCTCAGTCTTATCATCATTCAATTTGAGATTGTTTATGGTCATGCAGTGCTTAACTGACTCCACTGTCTTCTGTGTCATGAGAAGCTGGGGGAACTGAGAGGGGATCACGGATTGATGAAGTTGGGTGTCGTCTGCGAACATGTGGTTTTGCATATCAAACTGCTTGATATCTGCACCCAGGGGCTGAATGTACATCGTGAAAAGCACCGGACCTAGGACCTAGGACCTAGGACCGAGCCCTGGGGTACTCCAAATTCGATATTAGATTTCTCGAGGTCAAGCCGTTTGAAATAACTGACTGGACCCGATTAGTCAGATACGATCGGAATCATATTAGGACGGTATCAGTGAGACCGAACGTTTTTTGCAGACGCTGAAGTAGTAAGCCGTGGTCAAGCGTATCGAAAGCTGCCGATAAATCTAGTAAAGACAAAATCGATACCTGGCCCTCATCACAAGACGACAGAAGGTCGTTTACGACGCACAACAGGGTTGTCTCAGTAGAGTGATGCGCCCTGTAAGCTGATTGGAAAGTTTCCAGCAAGTCACACTGACTGAGGTGATCCAAGAGTTGGCGGAGAACGAATTTTTCTAAGATTTTAGTAATAAATGGTAGATTTGAGATGGGGCGATAATTTTCCATCACATTTGGGTCAAGATTTGATAGTGGAGTGACGATCGCCTCTTTAAATTAAAAGATGATGGAACAATACCAGTAGCCAAGGACTGATTTATGATATAAGTGATTATGGGGACTATTTCATCCAGACATTCATACAGGAGCCCTGCTGGAAGAGAGTCAAGCGAACATGACTTTCTTGGGGTATCAGCGAGGATTTTCCTCACATTCGATTCACTGACCTCAACAAATTCTCCCATAGGAGAGCCGTTGAAGAGTGAGAATTCTGGAGCAGTATCGAGGCAACTGTCAAGTTTCGCACTGATCCTCTTAACTTTTGTGATGAAGAAGTCTTTTACAGCGTCTGGCAACTCTTCTACAGCAATGTTATTTGGCAGAGATGTAGACTTGTTTTTACCGTTCAGCTGACCCACAATGCGAAATAAGTCCTTGCTTGAGCTGCTGTCTATAACCTGATGACTAACATGCTCTGTCCTAGCTGCAAGGACCAACTTTTTGGTTCGTTCCCTTTGGTCAACAAAAATTTGTCCGTGCACGGTCAAGCCCGACTTTCGCCATTGGCATCCTGCACGTCGCTGCTTCTGCTTTGCTTCCTAAATTTCTGGCGTGAGCCATAGGGCGGAAGGGCGCCGTGTGGTCAGCGGTGCATGTTTGTCTAAAATGGCTCTGAGGCCACTGTTGTAGGATGTAGCGGGGTCTTTTTCACTGCACCTGAGGGCGGCGACGTCGCATCTGAAGGCCACTAGATCAATTTTTCGCGGTTTACGAGATGTGACTGTGCGCAGAGGGTGCCCTGGCTTCCTCAAGTCAAGGTCAAAGAATATTGGAAAGTGATCAGAGATTAATTTATCTTCAATGAGAAGGTTGCGGATGACGGCTGCGCGGTCCTCTCTGACAACAAGGCAATCCAGGATGTGACCCTTCTGTTATGTTGGGACACTGACAAGCTGGATCATAATGTATGTGTCAAGAGCTGATTTCAGAGTCTTCACATAGCTGTCAGTGGTGGAATCAAAGTGGCAATTGGTATCACCTATTATGATGACGTTGCTATTTGTAGAGGCGTACGTGTCTAGTAGCTTTATAAACTCAGCAGTAAACTGGGAGGCCTTAAACTTATTTCGCTTATTGGGAGGTGGCCTGTATATGCACAGAAGCGTAATCGCTTGGTCACAATAATTAAGTTGCATCTTGCAAATCTCAAATGAAACAAACTGGTCTGATTTTGAGAACGCCACACTATTCTTGAGGGAGCTCCTGTAAAGAACAGCAATACCTCCGCCACCACGAGACAGCCTTAGGCAGGAATGAACATAGTCCGGAGGTGTAATTTCTTGCAGCTTGACCTCATCTCCGACCTGCTTAAACCACGTCTCCGTAATAAACACAAGGTCGACCTTGCTCTCTAAAATAAGATCACACAACTCGAATGTCTTGTTCCTGCATGACTGGGCGTTGAAATACAGCACCCCGAAGTGCCGTGATTGCGGCCTCACAAAAGGCTGACAGTCGACAACTACTAGATTTGATTTCGTCACACCCCGTCGAGGTGTTGCGAAATCATGGGCCACTGGCTGTGACCTTAGCCTTGACACATACAGACGGGCAAGATCGATGACACAGTAGGTGGCTGATTTCAGTCGTCCTCCTCGTTACTGAAAGCTTCATCAAAGGGCTCCTCATCACGATCACCACCAGCAATAGTATTGACACTGCAGTCGCCATGATGGTATTTCAGTGGACGCTGTTTTCTTTCGCCGTGTGCCTATTGGCTTACTTGATAGTTCTCCTGTCTCGCAGTTTAGGCCAAGCTGAACCAGTTTTTTGATCACTTGTAAAAACACTGGGGGTCAACATAACCCGTGTCGAAGAGCAGTAGTTGAGCCTTGGTATAGCGCAGACTGAGAGGCTTGAGATGTGTAACTGCGTCTCTATAGTATTTACCCATAGGCCTGGCTTTGATATTTCTATCCTGAGTGGAAGCTCACTAGAAAGGGGCACACATGCCGTACTGTCAACACTGTGTTCACTTGCCTTTTTATATAAGAAAAAAACAAACACCAGCAGATATCTCAGGAATCCATTATCCGATTTTTAAACGGATTATACCACTGCACAGCCCAGAACATTCCGAAAATGATGATACCAGAATTTCCACATAAAATTCCATATTGACACAGAAACTACAAACAATGTGCAATACGTCGCTTGACGTCGCTTGACGTCGCTTGACGTCGCTTGACCTGTTGTGGCACCCCTGCTACTTTTCGGTTTTGTCCCTCCCCACCACCTAGCAGTCAAAGTTGATAATTTAAAGTAATTACAGCAACACTTTGAGCCCCTAAAATATACGATGCCCCGGGCCCCATGCAGCTATATGGGTTGCAGATCTCACACGATGGCTCCGAGGTCAAGTGACACCTAAAATGTTAAATAACATCTCTCTCGTTGCTCTCCAGTTAAGTGTATAATGATGTAAAATTAAGCCGTCTGCCCCTAGGTTTCTGCATGTAGATCGTTTTTGCTGCTCCAGAATCCGGAATCCTTTCAATGTGTCCTGACCAGGGCAGTCTGCCTGTTTTTATTGTTGGGACAACGGATGGGTATTTGTACAATTGATATAGCTTTTGGTTTGTATGGATTCTCAAAAAAAAAAAAAATTTGTATCATCGGGCCATATATTGAGCAGGTTCTCTGCTTTTCTGATAGGAACCAAGTCACAATTGCTTAAGTTACTACTGGTCTTTTGATAGTGGTGCATATTGCTTCTTTGTTCCCCTAGAGAGGTTTTTGCTTCGTAGTAGCTTTTGTAAGTTGAAATAAGAACTGGTGCATGCTGTTTTCCTTTCTTTCACCTCCGATTGTATTTCCTTGAGCGTTTTTATAGTCACGCCGAGATATTTGTGTCTAATGTATAATTATTATTAAACCGTAACTTATATTGTTATATTGACACAATTTGTTCGTGTCTTATTAATCTAGATATTTGAAAGTAGCTACTCTCATAAATATGTGGTTGTTCATATAATATATGTCATCAGTGTGCGTATTTACTGACATTATCATAAAATAATATATATTGCCTTCGATTTATTTACACCAAGACCAGCTTTGACCGTGACATCTTCAAGTTCCCTGGGAGCTTTAATAATATCATTGCAGTTTCTACTAAGTAGCGTTATATCGTCTGTTTATGTAAAGTATTGCATTGACTGGCTTTATAAAGTTCCTTATGGTTGTTCTGTACTACCTCTCTGGTGCTCACACGAATGTTTCAAACGGGATGATGAAAAGATAAATGGATTTGCTTGTCTCATCAGGCCCTGATTAATTGGGAACTCTCTCGAGTACTCTCTCTATTCTTTGATTCTACCTTTAGAGTTATCCAACGTCGTATGTATGAGTAGGGTAAGTTTGTTAGGGACTCTAAGTTCCAGGAGAGCATTGTACAGGTATTTCCTATATATGCCTAGCATTTCTCCACGAGACATCTAATAGTAAATAAATGAACGTCCGAAACGCCCCTTCACACATTGTCTGAAAGATACATTGAATTGCACCACAATGCATTTTGAATTTATTATTTTTAAATTAAGGGGAACCCTGCCATCGTTTTTGCTCAAGACTCTTCAGATTCCTCAATTTTTGCTACTTCCCTCCTTGACGTCGATCAGTGTGACTTAACGGGGTTAGATCTAAATCTAATCTTGTTTTAAATGATTATCTTGGGTGCAGCACCAACAAAATGAATTTAGTTTATGTATGGCAATGGGCGCCATCATGCCTCCACTGACTCTTGAGAAATTATGTTCCCTAATCAATCATAGTCTTTTGGAGAATACCATGTATACTCCAAAATGCACCTATTGATTGTTAAACAATCACACATTTTCTGGATAGGAAAAGCCATCGGGGGGGGGGGGCGGAATGCTCGATTTCCCCCATCTTTCCTGATAAAAATTCCAGTATTGCTTGACCTGGCAACCTTTTGGTGCTGACATATACACTGGCCAGCGGAGTGCCTAGTTTTAGCGCCACTCTAGGTAGGTTAACTTTTTTGCCGCGCCACCTTCTCGGTAGAAAATCTGCAGTTGTCCGAAAATCTCGCCGCTCAATCTAAATAGAAAATGAGACACGGGAAGACCAAATATTGCCCCCGCCCCCCCGTTTTTTTTTCTACGTCACCGGCGTGAGTCTTTGTTGCCTGGGGACAAGATTCCTTTTTACTCCCCCTTTCCCCCTAAACTCTGGGACCCATTATTTTCATCCATTAACACTCTAGCCGTCTAGCCCATTAGCTGCCATTAACACTCTAGCCGTATAGCCCATTAGCTGCCATTAACACTCTAGCCGTATAGCCCATTAGCTGCCATTAACACTCTAGCCGTATAGCCCATTAGCTGCCATTAACACTCTAGCCGTATAGCCCATTAGCTGCCATTAACACTCTAGCCGTATAGCCCATTAGCTGCCATTAACACTCTAGCCGTATAGCCCATTAGCTGCCATTAACACTCTAGCCGTATAGCCCATTAGCTGCCATTAACACTCTAGCCGTATAGCCCATTAGCTGCCATTAACACTCTAGCCGTATAGCCCATTAGCTGCCATTAACACTCTAGCCGTATAGCCCATTAGCTGCCATTAACACTCTAGCCGTATAGCCCATTAGCTGCCATTAACACTCTAGCCGTATAGCCCATTAGCTGCCATTAACACTCTAGCCGTATAGCCCATTAGCTGCCATTAACACTCTAGCCGTATAGCCCATTAGCTGCCATTAACACTCTAGCCGTATAGCCCATTAGCTGCCATTAACACTCTAGCCGTATAGCCCATTAGCTGCCATTAACACTCTAGCCGTATAGCCCATTAGCTGCCATTAACACTCTAGCCGTATAGCCCATTAGCTGCCATTAACACTCTAGCCGTATAGCCCATTAGCTTCCATTAACACTATAGCCGTATAGCCCATTAGCTGACCCCGCTAGTCTGGCGACCGGGGACATATGTCCCCTATGTCCACCTTAGATACGTCTCTTTCCACTTGCAGTGTCCCCCCCCCCCTAAAATCTAAAGTGCCCCCCCCCCCACCCCGTGAAAATTTTCTGAAAGAAACCCTGTCTACAGCTCGTCATAAACCTCTGCAGCAATCACCCTGTGTATTAAGCTATGATGCTATTTTTTAAATTGTCATTGATAATGAGTTTATTTTTAGATGTGATATTTTGAAGGTCATTAATTCATTGATTGTCACTTTCTAGGTTATCAACTCACTGACTAACTGTTACTATGTAGGTCCTCAATCGTTCACTAACTAAATGCTACTCTATTTCTTTGCTAACTTTAGGGGTTCTCAAAATATTTAGAGCAGTCAAAGCAAAGTAAAGCTTGGCAAAATAGTTTGTACTAGATCCTCATAACAAATGATGAATAATTACCTTAGACCTATTCAGGTCCAATTTTTATTAATTGTCTTTAGATTTACTGATGGCTTCTCAGTAATACATATAAGACTAACAGAACTTTAAAAACATCCAGTGTTATTGTTAGAATCCCTAAATCCTTTCACATATTACTGCAAAAATTAAAAAACTTAAAAAAAAAAACAACTCAATAATTCATTTGGTTTAAATTTTTTTCATACATAAGATGTAGGTTTTTTTTTATATATAAATGACATAATTTTCAATTCATTAAATGTATTTCGATATTTTCTTTTTCACCTTGCTGCTTTGAACAATATTAAATTAAATATTTCATTTTTAAAGCTCTTAAAATGCAGCAACTGTTTGTATTCTTTTCATTCCTCAGATTTCATTAAAAAAATTGGCATCACATTTTGTGGTGATAAGGGAATGCCTTACACTTCCTAGTGCGAGATTCCAAGATATGCTGCAATGGAAAGAGCTTGTTGAATCCTTACATTCAAAGCATCCATACCATCAGATTTCTGTTGATGGGACTAAAGTAATGATTCTAACACTTAACGACAGAGATGAAATGGAGACCAATGAAATAGAGAAGGACTTAAATCAATTTATTTTGAATAATGATGAACAATCATTCAGGCAGAACATTCCATTGGCAATAAGAAAAGATTCATCTTGTGAAAAGGAACAATATGATAACACTTTCTTACGGACGGCAGGACATTCTCGACAACATGGCAAATATGGGAAATCACATAATAAATCTCAAGGCTCTGACTTCATTGAATTTTTACCATTTTGTCAACAGCAGATCCAGTATTGTAATATGTTTCTACAACAAGAACTTCAGAATATACTAGAAACATTTAAATCAGCAGAAATCACAATACAATGTGATGGCATTGAACTAAAGGCTAGCAGTGAACATTGTGGCTATGAAATGAAACAAAGAATGAAATCACTCTTTGACAGGATAATTAACGTGAAAAAAGAACTCAAATATCCTGGGCTGGTATCTTTCTTTAATTCTGAAGATGGTCATAAGCTGATATCACTCGTGTCCACAAGGTATGAATGTTTTATTGAACCTCCCATGGACGGATATAACAAAACTAATGCTGGACAGGAAGTAAATAATACTGGGCTGGAAGTACTGAAGCCAGAAGATGAGAGAATTAATTATCAAGTCACGTTATTAGGAACAGCCAAATGTCCAGGGTTTAAAGTTCATCTAGTGCAAGGAAACATACGAGATATAAAATCAGATGTAAAAGTGGAGTTCTGCATTTCCTCTACAGGTAAATATCTAAAAAAAGTATATCTTACAATTACTTCATGTTTGATGATTATAGCAGGAATATTTACTTTTAAAGGATTAAAAAGAATACTATTTTAAATTACTAAAAATATAGCTGTATTAATTTCTTATATTAATTTTTTTTTTAAATTTATCAGCAATCAATAAAATAAAAAATAAACAACAAACAACAACAATAAAACTAACATGAACGAGTATTTATTTTAAAAAAACGTTTCATTAACGGGTTAAATTCTGTAACACATGCTTTTGTACATAGACTTAGCGGAGAAATATCTAAGAAAAGCATGAAGTCAAGGACTTATTTAATTAGCGGGAGTTGTTTTCATGAGATTGAATTGAGGGGAAGAACGTAGGCACCTATGATGGTGGGCGTTCATTTTACACTTAGTGCAATTATATATATATATATATTTATATATATTTTGAAGATGATGTTGCTAATATTAGTATTATTGTTCCAAGGATTATTCACTGTATGAATGAAGAGCTTAGTGTGTGAAGTTGGATTTAAGATTTCATTCTGTGTGGAAGTGGCGGCACCTAACAGTTGTTCTAGCATTTAAATTTAGATGACTATCTTCACTGTGGGTCCCACACACACATATAGTGAATAGTTACAAATTCTAAATAATAATTTCTTTACATTTAAATAAGTTGGGCCGCAGTTGTATACGTTGTATTTTCTCTTAGATGACCGACGCTTTTCATTTGATGAGATCATCATTTCACAATATGTCATCACACCAAACGTTCCTGTTTTACTATAAACATTGACACGAGAGACCTCAACTCAAAATGTTACAAGTTAATTCATGTATATTTATACCAACATGTACATTTCAATACTTTCTGTTATTTTCTTCTGTACTTCAAAGTATTGAGACAATATATGTATTGAAGGTTTTTTAATTAAGAAACTTGAGATTCAGCATTTTTTTAATCATAAGAACTATTTTGTTCACACGGGGCGTAATGAATCAGGGAAGGAGGTCGGATTTACACCTTTATACACCCAAGGCAAATAAAACAATTCAACGACCCCGCCACCCACCATTTGAAAACAATCTCCCCCCCCCCCGCTTATTATATTGTGACGCAGCTGTAGTCTTTTTGAGATTCAGCATTTTTTTAATCATAAGAATTATTTTGTTCACACGGGGCGTAATGAATCAGGGAAGGAGGTCGGATTTACCCCTTTATACACCCAAGGCAAATAAAACAATTCAACGACCCCGCCACCCACCATTTGAAAACAATCTCCCCCCCCCCCGCTTATTATATTGTGACGCAGCTGTAGTCTTTTTCTGCCCCCCCCCCAACCCTCCAACCTCTTTATGACCTTGGAATTTCTCTAGGTAACAATTTATATATTAAAGCACAACAATGCAAATACACATTTAAGAAAAAAAATAACATGAAATCAAAAGGCCTGAGATTTTTTTAGTCAGTACCAGTCGAATCTTTGATGCTTGGTCAGTGTCATGTCGCTTGGTCAGTTTCATGTCGCTTGGTCAGTGTCATGTCGCTTGGTCAGTTCATGTCGCTTGGTCAGTGTCATGTCGCTTGGTCAGTGTCATGTCGCTTGGTCAGTGTCATGTCGCTTGGTCAGTGTCATGTCGCTTGGTCAGTGTCATGTCGCTTGTTCAGTGTCATAATGAATCAACGCCTACGATTGGCTTGAATTCAGCGATTGTGTTCTTATCTGGGTTATGCTGGAGATTGAGTTTCGATCCAAGGGATTGGAAGTGACCCATTTTGACCACACAGCCATCCAGCCACTCACCCAGCAATTTTTTTTTTTTTTAAATTTTAAGAATTAAAAGTGACAAAATAATTACAGGCCTACTAAAACTAAAATTACTTTTTTAAAAAATCACTTGATTAGATAATTTGATTTGCTGAAACGTGAATAATTATTGAGGTATTAGTTACATAGTTTGTTTTCAATATCTACATTGAATATTCATCAATGTTCTAACAATTTTAACTGTTAATTTCCGTATCATTAATATTAATAGTGAACTCTCGAATTCAAAACCAATATTTTTCTTCTAATATTTCTCTTGAAGCTGCCTACCAGCAAACAGCATACCGATAATTTCTTGTTTTTTTGCGGAAACAGCGTTGACTTTCGGGTAGGAGACCTAGGTCCAGATGCACAGTCAGGCTGTTCAGAAGGGCTCGGGCCAAGATCTTGCCTGCGATTGACAGTAGTGAAATTCCGCGGTGATTGTCTCAGGCCTGGTGGTTTCCTTTGTATTTGTACAGTGAATAATCGAGGCATCCTTGAGGTCTTGTGGTAAAGTTTCCGTCTGTCAGATGATCTGGAATAGCCGCAATAGCTCATCTGACAGCATTGGTCCACCTTCTTTGTAGATTTCGGGGGCAATCATGTCGGAGCCAGGTATTTTGTCATTGGACATTTGGCAAATTGCTGTCTGTATCTCGACCAAAGTTGGGACAGCGTCCAGTGACTTGTTCGTTGGGAACTGGGACAGCCTTTTAATGGCCTCATCATTAATGACGGAAGGCGTTTTGAGCACACTATCAAAGTGTTACGCCCATCTTTCCAAGATCTTATCCTTGTCTGTGATAAGTGTAGAACTGTCTGCACTAAGGGGAGGGGAAGAGCCTGATGAGGTAACGCTATAGATTTCTCTCAGGCAACGGCAGAAGTTTTTCTATGTCTTTCTTGTCTGCAAAGCCCTGAATTTCATCAGCTTTCGCACTCAACCACGAGTCTTGCATCTGGCGCAGTTGCAACTGGACCTTGCTGCGGATACTCCTCAGTGCAGCTGTCTTTGCTGTTGCCACTGGCTCATCATGGAGGGCCTTGTACGCCCGACGTTATTGCTCAAGCAACATTTGAATCGCTGTTTTGCTTTTGTCAAAACAATCATTGTGTTTCCTGGTAGAGGGTCAGAGGCGCTCAGCGGCTGTGCTTTACACCGTCTCACGAAGTGTGGTTCACACTTTTTCCTGGTTGACCTGTGTGATGGTATCAAGGCGTTCATCCAGGTTGTCAACAGAGGTTTGTCTCACATCAGAGATTTTCAGCTTACTGATATTGAGGCGTTTCGGAACTTTCGTGGCCTGAGGTCATCTCTTAGGTTGGATATGAATTTTCATCTTTGATTTTTGACGCAAAAATTGGGTCCCCGCAGACCGTGTTCAGTCGGCCAGGGTTTGAAGGAGCGGGCAATGTTTTGGGCACCTATTCCAGCCCCTGCCTCATGCATTTAGGAGAGCCTGCATTTGGCCACAGGACTTGGGATGATGACTGGTGACTTATGCGGGTTGTCAATGGTAAGAGAATCCCTGTTGTTATGTGTAGATCACTGTTGTTACATGAGGATCACTGTTGTTATGTTTCGTATGTAAAAGATGTTTAGCTAAGAGATTTCACGTGTAGCTGCATCTATTGTGTGAGATTGTTGTGGCGTATTTGGGTAAGGGGGAGATGACCCGTTAGTTGTTGTTGTTGTTATGGTGGATAGACGGCGGTTGTTCGATGTTGACTGTTTTAACTTGTGTGTTGTTAACTGTTTATTTTTCGGAAAGTATATAACAGCCATATGTAAGAAATTGTTGATAAAGAAACGTATATAATACAACAAACTGGTTAGTGTTGCTAACCGTTATGTAGAAAAAAAACTAAAGCAACACAACACAAAGCGAGCTTTATAATTAATTAGGAGTTATGCTTCCTGAAACAAAATGTAAATATAAAAGATATATATTTCTGTGTTGAAAATGTGAGCTTGTGTGCCGAACATAGATGACCCCTTTTTAATTCAATAACTGATGAAGCAACTCCAAGTTGTCTACTACTGTAACAACCACGCATTTAGGACTTCAGTGTAGTTAAATTTCCATTTCTTAATTTCTCAAGCTCTTGTTAAGCTTTTAAAAAAAAACCTACCGTATAGATTTGTAAGTTGATAATGCAATAATTGCATTCTATTATCCCACTCTATTACCCCTGAAGACCTTACTGTATTTCTGATGAAAAAATGCTAGATTTTGTCTGCAATTTCCAATATTCTCATTTTGTTTGGGATTATTACCCAGGTTTGTTCTTTGGTATATGTATCTTAACTTTCTCGTGATTTTGTTACCCAATATGAAATATTTGTCTGCGTCAGTCTAACCCTATCCCCCTCAACTGGGTGTAGTATAAAAAGCGTCTAAACTGGCCTGTTATTTTTATTTGGTTTTTGTTTGCTGATTATTTGAGTCTGTGTCATCCATAAAATAGATTTAAAATTTGACAATAAATACATATTCTGAATGCATTTGGGTACCAACAATAATAACATGTATTCAACTTGACAAACCATTTCAAAAAAGAACAGTCACATGTACACATGTAAAATAGAGGCTTTGCGGCTCAGCTTGCACAGTTTTTACATAAAAGAACAGAATGGTCTTTGCAAATATTTCTAATAAACTTGCTGAGTTGAAGTGGTTTGGGCGACTGTTTGAATTTTTTTTAAAGATTTCAAAACACTGGCGAAGTTATGCCTCACACTATTTTGATGAATCGGGACGAATTGCCTCTACTTGCGGAAGGGTGAGAAAATGTGCTACGTCTATTCTGACTGTCTGTTGTCTTCATGAGACAGTGAGTTAGTCGAACACTTATATTTAAATGCCACCCTTGATGCTATTGATGCCAAGGCAACAATGTTGAAAAACTCAACCAAAGGCGGCCATCTTTTACTTTTAGTTTTTTTGTATTCACAGAGAACATCTTCGCCATTTGGTCCATGGCGAATATACATTCTTTGATTTTGTTGTTATAGAGCACAATCTCCGGTTCCTTGCATTCATTATCACTTTCTATATCTGGATTATTGTGTATTGTGTTCAGGAGCAGTTCATTTTTCTGCTTCGAGCTTTAGTATTTGACCATGTTTTTCTAGTTTGAACCAAAACATTGATTTGTTGAGAGGCAGAACCTTCTTTTGCTCGAACCCCTTGGATAGGAACATCTTGTTCCGTTCACTGTTCCAACTAGAGTGAGTCTGTTCTTGGCCATTGGTTCTGCAAGTTGTAGAGGAATTAAATAATAGTCTGTTCTGTAATTGCAGCCACTTCCATGCAAGTCCCTTATGAGGGAAATCACAGTCTCTGGGGATATTCCAACATTTCACTTTGCTGGCAGAGCACTTGCATAATTTTTGCCGAGATATGGGCATCCTCTTAGATGATGATTTGAAGTCGATTCATAGGCGCAGAAGATTTGTATTCCATATTTGTCAGGCTTGCTTGGGGGTGCATACAGAATATTTATTGAATAAATCTGCACCGGCCTCTGAAACCAAACATTTGTTCACCTACTGTGATGTTATCTCCAGGGAACAAAGTACCTAGCCATTTAGTCAGGAATGATTCTCAAACATCTCTTACTATTAGATCGAAGATGCCAAGAGCTAGAAAGGATTGATCTAGTATAATTGTTGTCAAAACAAATATGAATCAGAAGTTTGCTGAATCTCGACATTAAAAAATGTACCCTAAATATAGGATTTCCAGCAACATTGTTGAAAAGAAAAGTCCACTGAAATGCTGTTGAGATAAAGATTTCCAGTGTGTAATAGTAGTAGACAGGCAATAAAAGCTTTTATTTAGATCACATCATTCCTTTGCCACTTGTTTCCTTTTATTTTCTCAACTTCCCTATTGCTGCAGTCAAGTATTGTTTGTACCGCTTTTTCATTAATTTACAGAAGAAATGCTTCAGTGGGAGAAACTACGTGATACGTGAAGGGAGTTTGGTTCCAAGGCAACCAAATCATGCCACATAGTACAAAAGAAATGAACATAAAGAGAACAATTTATTGTGAAAAAAGACTATGGGTGTAAATGCCAGAAATGCCAGAAACACTTTTCGCTGGGACAGGGTATACAAACAGAGTTTCACCCCAGCTGTTTAATTGAACCACCTTCACATATTTGCAGTTATATTATTGATACAGAAGTAAATCATGAGATATCTTAAATAATTTAAATATTTTTTAGCCCAGGAATGCATTTTCAAGGCAAATCAAAGTAGTCGGGATATGACCGTTCTCTTGCCAAGATGGAAAGCCCCAGAAATGTCTGCGTATGAGGAGCACTTTCATCAGCTGAGGAACAGTTTGAGATCAGTGGTAGGCATAGTGCTTGATCAACTGAAGTCTTTTAAAAGTACAAACGTAACATTTCACATCAATGTGAGCCATGATCAGGAGTTTCTATTTCCTTTGGATGCCATCGCAAAGATTGTCACAGAACAACTGTTTGCGGCATTTACAGCTCCTAGTGACAGTTCCAAAGATATTGATGTTTATATTTGTGAACCAAAATGTGAATCTGTTTTCAAAGGATTTTCTTACTTTATTAAAAGAATGGGAGTTGACTTTGGAGCACCAGATCAGGTCAGCTGGGATCAGATATGTCACAGGGGTAAGTTCACTGAGACTTAATTAAGCTAATGGTTAAGGAACAAAGGGGATTTAGGACCGCAAATGCAAAGTTAATTATGTATACAACTATTTGCCTCATTAAGTACTTATTTTTAAAAATGAAATGAAATATAAAAAGTACATCAACATCAGCAGGGCTCGGCTAAAAGAAACATTTATATTCAGTGTCATTACTTTAAAAATAACTTAGCCTAATTATAATTCAAGTCTCTAATATTTTGAAAGATATCTAATTATTGCTCAAACATATTTTATTAATACACAAGCACAAGGCATAACAATTAGTAATTAGAATCAAATCAAATAAATATTTTTTTTTGCATGTTAAGACAGAGTAGTTAAAGTCTTTGAAGTTACTACAGTCAATTCCAAAAGTAACAATACTGAAACTTACTTCACTGAGTGAACCATCTCTTTTAAAAAGCTGCCAAACATATCTTCCTTTTTATGACGTGGCGAAGTGCACTGTTGAAAAATTTGTAAACACGTTAGAGATGTGGGAGTTTCCTTACTGTTAAATAGAGTTCGTCATTTCTAAGACCTGAAAAGATCGCCACAGCGCATTATTTCTATTTTCAGCCAATGTTTTCATAGAAGATATTTTCTCATGTATAAAGCAGTAACAATTTTTGAGTAAAGTATTTCTTAAAATAAAGTTGTACAAACGTTTTGGTCTAGGTTAAGACTAACTATGGCGGCTCACATTGACATAGAGGTACCGAACAGTTGTTACGGAGATGGGCCAAACGGAATACCAGGATGTTATATTAATATCTTAATGAGACTGGTCAGACTGCATGCCCGGATGTTCTATTAATAGATTTGCGCTATTAAATGACAAACTCTATTTATTGGCACATACAGCATTTTATTTTGTATATTTTTTTGAATATTTTTAAAATTAAAAAAAAAATTGAAATATTTGACAATGTTAAGGCTGTAATTAAAAAAAAAAAAAAAAAAAAACAAAATAAGTTCGGCAAATTTATTTTAATATTGGTATGATTGATTAATATATTTATTGCAAACCAATTTTTTTTTTAAATTTAAGATATATGTATGCTATTTCTGGCAAGCTACAAAGAAATTAAAATATGTCACCATCAAAATGTTAAAACACACCTTTTAAGAATATTTTTTTTTTATTTGTTTAAATTTATTCATTTTGTTCTATTCCAGACTTTTTCAAATATCCAGATTACAGACAGTACAAATATGATGTAGAAATAGTTTCTAGCTGCCCTGAAAATCTGGTATCAAAATCCGTTGCTATATATATGCATATGCATTAACTTAAGTTATGCTTTCCAATGCTGCTACAAAATGAAAGTATTTGTGTTAGGGGTCGTTTGCAAATTACATCACGCACAGGGGTGAGGGGGGAGAATTAATTGACACTTTTGACGGGGGGGGGGTAAAAAATTTGTGACGTCAGGATTTTTTTTAAAGGAAGTGCTTATTGGGACCCGGGTCCGAGAAGTGGGAGGTTGGGATTAAAATTTTCAAAAAAATATTATTGCAGGGTTTGTGAGACGAAATTTGGTATCAAATGAAAGAAAATTGAAAGAACTATATGTTTGTACACTTAATTCTTCAGTTTAACTAAAATGAACTACCACAAATGACAGAAAAAAACAAGAAAAAAAACAAGCATAGATTGGAAAATTTGAAAAAAATATGACCAAGAAGTAAATGTTATTCTATACTGTGCAAAACAGTGTTGACAAAATCTTTTGTTAGATTCCCAGCACTTGTAAATTAATATTCAGCCTCACCACATCTCTCTATTAACATACATTTAACTATTTCAACTCCAAACCAGTTTTTAAACTTTAAGCAACATGTTGATTTTTTGAAAATATTATTTTCAAACGCCAAAAATCAATAATAAAATATATTCTCCTAAAGTAAAGAACGAAATAAGAATTGAACAAGCTACCTAACAAATGAATGCTCATATTTAATTATTTTTACGCAGGGGTCTGAAACTCGCGGCCCCCCGCCATTTGCGGACCGATACCTGACAGCAAAGCTCATTGCTAATCCCCCATATTTATATTTATATTTTATTTTGTCCATTTTTGTCCATATTTTGTCCCGCGCGTTTTGTCCATTCTCATATCTATAATGTGAGCTTTTGCGAAGGTATCAGTCAAATCTCACCAACTAGTTTAACTGATTAATCTTTAGTGCAATTCTATACTCAAGGCTAAGCTCAGGGAGGTACATAAAAAACCACAGACGAGCTTGGACATTTTATGAGAGAATTGCCCTCCAACTTTCCTGAGTCTTCCAGGTTGTTAAAATGTATCAGTTCAAAGTTCAGGGCCCAACTTACTGATGAGCATATTAAAGCAATCCTGAGGCTTGGAACCAATGGTCTACCATAGCAACCGTTTTAAACAATAAAATTAGAAGGGATACCTGCATTAATTTGCATAATTTTGTATTTTAAATCAAGATAGAATGTTGTTCTTTTGGGGCGACCAAATTATATTTTTATAAGTCTTATTAGTCTGATTGCCATATCATTAAAACTGCCATTTGTTTCGTTTTTAATTGCACAATAAAATTTGCTTTAATTTTTGCATGCAGGAGTTTAGAAACTTATTCTGCTATCCCATACAACCCAGTCTTGAAGCATCCTCGTGCCCTGTTTACTTTGACCCCACGAGTTGTAAAAGGTTGGTGGAGAACTCATTAGAAGAACTCCTAAAAGAAATGCCAGATGGCCTATTGATTGGGGATGTGCACCCTGTGTCGTGTTTTCCATTTAGTAGAGATGCACTTGTGTATTGTATTCCTGAATGGGGATCAGGCATTTACCAGGTAAAAATGGTGACCAAGCAGCATTTCATTATCATGATTTGCTTTTTATCCCAACTTTTGTTTCTCTAGTTTAGACACCAGTTTTCAAATAGCGTAGAAAGATTCAGTTTAAACACTTTGCTTGAGCACTAATTATATTCTTTCTTTTCCGTTACTGCAGGCATTAAAGGCTTCTCTGAAAAATATTTTCAAGCAGAGTTATAAATATGATGCTATCATCATAACTCCTCCGGGATTAGGTGTCCAGAAATTTCCTTTGCCTTATCTGGTTCAAACATTTGTTCAACTTTTGGATGAAATTATTAAAAAAGAAAACAGTGTGAGGAAGAAAAAAATTTACTTGGTTGTGCACAACACAGAATACAAAATGGTAGGGTGTTTACTTTCTCCTCTGTTTTTAAAGTGAATTGCTCACAATTATTTATAAAAAAGATTGAACTAGTTTCACTTTAAAATTTTATTTTGTAAACCTAATAAAGTGCAGAGAGTTGCACTGTATTTAATGTAAAGAAAATTGAAAGACACAGACTCTGAAGTATTATAGGAGAAGAAACACAACAATCAGAGCATTGCCATCTGCAAATAAATATTCAATACCAGTTTACAAAAACGTTAACTTTGATTCACATGGATCTCAAAGTAATTGTTATAAATCCTTTTATTTGTCTTGTAGGCATTTGAAAGGGAATTACAAAAAAGGTTTCCGAAGATTGCAAAAAAGCCACATTTTTGGTGGTCCCTTCGTAAGTTTTAACATATTTTTTATAAAAGTAAAGAAATTTTATGATCTTTCTTTATAAACATTCATAAAAATGTTTAGTAAATGCTTCTTCATAAAGTATTTAATAAATATTCAGTTAAATCCACCTAAAATAGTATCATCAATTTCTTTAAGAAGTAGATTCAAGAGGAAAGTTGATTAAAGGCAAAAGTTGATTAAAGGAAAAGGTTGATTAAAGGAAACGTTGATTAATGGGCAAATATAAAATGAGTAAAACAGAGTAGAGTTAAACCTGAAAAAATAAATGCAACAAAACAACTAACCTGATTGCAGTCTCTCCCCTTATACGTTGTTTTGTTGCGTTTATTTTTTCAGGTTTAACTCTACTCTGTTTTACTCATTTTATATTGTACTAACCTGATTGCAGTCTCTCCCCTTTTTACCCATTAAAGGGCACAGTTCATGGTTTGACTCCAATCAGTTGATAAATTAATTTGATAATAATCTTGTATTTCTTAAATGTTAAACTTATGGGGCTGTTATTTATTGTCACTCTTATCTTAAAATATATGTTACTTGTAGTAACACTGATATAAAGTGTTTTAATAATATGGAGAACATGAATAATAAAAACAGCTGTCAGTGGGTCTTCCTTTTAGCAATGTTCCCTCTAAGGTTTGTTGGTTCGTGTGCAAAATCATAAAGTTATGTGCAAATTTTTACATCATCAATTTTTTGTGCGCAAAATTTTACAGCCTACAGACACAAACAGACACTAAAGTGGAAATTAGCTGCGCGGTACTCAAAACTGCTGCGTGGCGACTGTGAGATTGCTGCGTGGCCGCGCAGCTTAAAGGGAACATTGCATTTTAGTCAAATATTTTGCTGTTAATTTAGCAAATTCAAGTCGAAATTACCAGTTTGAGCTTATTTTATCATAGTAACATAAGATAAAGATTATCTTATGTTGTCATAGTACACATATAAGGTCAAAGTTGTACTTATCCTTTGCCAGGGTAATGTTTAAATTCAAATCTCTTGCTTGCAAATAGCACTATAAATTTACTTCCATATTTTAATTTTCCAGCTTCATTCTGGGATTCATCTGACAAAAAAGGTAAATAAGATTTGTTTGTTCGTTAATTTGACTGATTTTTGAAATGCCTAACACATGCATCAATGTTTAATAAAAAAATTCCAAGTACATGTTGTTGGCAGGATTGCCAACCAACCTTTCACCTAATCATAATTTTAAAAAAAACAACAACATATGACTCTTATGAATGTGCTTGTAAAAGTCTCAAAAACATTTTAAAATTAAAGATTGCGGTTTTTCAGACATACAAATTAGGAAATGCTCAAGGAAAATATTTCATTACCAGTAGACGATGTTCGACAGCCTTATAGTTTTTATACATGATCTTAATCATAGGAAATACAATACTGATTAGAATGACATAGATAAAACTATCATCTTTAAAATGTGTTCATAATTTTGAAAAATGTAACCAAACAAAAATGTGTACATACAAATTTTTGAGATTTGAAATATTTGTTAGTAAATTTTAATTTCCTCATAAATCCCCCATAAGTGGCATTTGCTTTGCTGACAAGGGAAAACATTCTATTGACTATCCAGAGATGTTTTATAATTTTTCCCCTGTACAAACTTGGTTTAGTAATACAGCAAGCGCCAAAAGTAACAGTACTGAAACTCCAACATCTTGAACACAATGTGCATTTGTCAATGGTGTATTGCTCCAGTTGCCAGATGTTCCCAGTAGTGGAAGGGACGATGTGTTGGGTAGTTGTTGCTGCAAAAAGGTCTATCATTGGATGAATAATTATCAATAGCTTACCATTGTTTTCACTGGGACTTGGGTGGATATGAAAAGGGACTGATTTTGAAAAATGATACAGAACAAGTTTGTCAGAGAATTCAAAAGAAGGCATTAAGTAACATTGTTATGCTGTCCATTAGTACGAAATTTGGCAGTACTAGAAACATATTTAGTGAACGGAAAGAAAATTTTGGTTGACCAGACTACAAATTCCTTTACAATTCTGGATCTTCTACCATGCGTTCAACAATCTGTATGGTTATACTTACTATCACTACGATGATCACAACCACCTCCAAACAGATTTTAAGTGCTGTATGATTTGGGCGGACAAATGAAGTATGAAATTCTATGAAACCAAATGCTACCATATGACCATCTCAAAAAAAAAACAAAAAAACCCATCAACCTATATGTGCTCACTAAACGAGACAATCCTCCAACAAGTGTCAAATAATCCATACCTTGGAATTCTCTTCTGAAATAACCTAAACTGGTCACCTCATATAAACAAAATTTCAAAAAGCCCACTCCACCCTAGGTTTCACCCGAAGAAATCTGCGCCACTGCCCAACTTCCTGCAAATGGAAGCCTATCTCGCACTCGTCCGTCCACTACTGGAATATAGTGCGATCATCTGGGTCCCACACCTTAAGCAAGACGTGGACGAGATGGAGCGAATTCAACGTAACTGGGTGCGTTTCATCGCACGAGACTACAAATCCACCACTTCTGGCTTCGTCACTGGCCTCTTTAAAAACATTTGACATCCCCCCCCCCACCTTAAAGACAGACGAGAGGGACTCCGCCTGATATTCTTATATAAAGTGATCATGGGACTGGTGCTGGCCATCCCAGCAGGAACGTACCTCACCCCACAGAAGCCAGGTAGACTGATCAGAGCAAAACGCTCACTGAACACTGACTTCACCACTGACATTCCCATCAAAAATTACACCAGAAACAATAGCAAATGCTTCAAAGTGCCTCAGTGCAACACAGTGCATTATAAACAATCTTTCTTCCCACGCACAATAATAGCATGAGACCACATGGACAATGAAACTGTGAACTCGACATCGGTCGAAAGCTTCAAGGCTACCCTGGAATCTGTTAGGAGCTGTTAGAATAGCAACATCATACCCTCAACCATTGCACAGATGCCAGTACATGGATGCAGCAACGAACACAACCAGAACCAAAACTTCCAAACACATTTTAATTATGAAAAAATCTAGGATCAAAGGATTTTTAACCATTATTTAACAATTATTTATGTTTCAGAAGGTTTAATTTAGATAGTTTTCTTTCTATCTCTGAAATAATTGACTGAAATATACAAGTTTCAAAATATATAATATAGTAATACTAATAGATTGTCTTTGATGAAACTCAGATCAAATGTTAGAAAGAATAGTACGCTACTGTGCATTAATAACGTGTTTTTACAGAGCAAAACGGGAGAGCATCATCTCCATGCACTGACCCTAGTATTCTTATCAGTAAAGTTGTAAGCCTCCCTATCAAATACTGGGGAAAGTCAAGAGAAAAAATAAACATGGCTCACCGTGACATTGAGAGAGAACTTCAACGTTTTAATGAGTGATAGCACCTTGACTTGCAGACTGGATCGAAAAGAGACGGGTAACTTTGAGGTATAAAAAAATAAGTTAGAATAAGTTTACAGTTGTATAATATAATAAATTAAAACAAAACAAAAAATATTTTATTTATAACGGTAATTTTCACCAAAAAACCCAGTAATTTAATACTTAAAAAAATATATATGCCTATTATCAATGTGTTGTTTTCCTTTCATCCCTTAATTAAGTCCTTAAGTTACATGACTTTACTTAGTAACTTTTTAAATCATTAATGTTTTACATTTTCATCAGTAAATAATAGCTGCTTTTTTTTTCTTTTTGATATGTTACAGAAGTTATTGAAGCAGATGGCAAATAGTTCTGTTTTAATTAATTTCAAGAAGCAGTTCGCTGCTCAAAACCAAGGGTAACATAACACTTAGTATGAAAATAAGGGTACAAGAAAAAAGAAAATTCTTAAAACCGATGAAACAGGGAGTAAAATTATAATGACTGGATCTCAGCTCACTTTTCAAGGATTAAGTCAAATTGATGTTTCTGATTTTAGAAATGAGATAAACTCTGCAATAGGAAAAGATTCTTATTTAGAAAGCAGCTCCACTCGTCTGTCGAGAAGAAATTGAATGGTCATCTGGTGATGAAGATAAATCCAATAATTAAAACAAATTGCAAAACATTCTCTAATTTCTTTGGTCAAAAGTTACTTTCAATTTTTAATTAATCGTAGAAATAAGATGTCTATAAACATATTTTTAGTGTTATATGTGTATCCCAACATATTGTTCCGATTCAATATATTTCAAGAATTAACATAAAAATTGACTGGTACATAATTTTAAATAATTACTTAAATTGTGCTAGCTTTTTAAAAGTTTATTAATAGAATAAGAAATGTTATTGAGATATAAGAAATCTTATGGACAAAAAATAAATATTATTGACCAATAAGAATTGTTATTGACATATAAGCAATATTATTGACAAATAAATTTTATTGGCAAATAAGAAATGCTATTCACATATAAGTTCCCTGGGGCTCCGGTTGACAAGTCTGTGGTGGCTTGTCGATCACGAGGCGCCGGCCACCGACCCCCTCGACCGTGCCTCGACGTTACCCTGGGAACACAAAAACTGGGCGCGTCCTGCGTGGGCAGACATGGGATGTGCTCGGTACCTGCCGTACATAAAACAGCACCTATAGGGCTGCCAGTTGTGACAATTCACAGTTGGAAGTAAAGGCAGAGACAGGGTAGGGAATTATTACAAGTTGCCATTAATAGATATGAGGCTAGAGGCGAAGGTGGTAACCTCTGGCCGATGATTCTTACTACGCAGCAGTAAGAAGCTGCTCCAAGGAAACCGTTTCATCCCTACTGCATCGCAAATTAGTTGCATTGTGAAAACCGTCTGTGGAAACCGTCTGTGGAAACCGTCTGTGGAAACCGTCTGTGGAAACCGTCTGTGGAAACCGTCTGTGGAAACCGTCTGTGGAAACCGTCTGTGGAAACCCTCATAAAAGTGGTCAAACGTTTCCCCGGGATGGGTGGGGGAAGGTATTACAACATAAATTTACCACCCCAACTTCCAAGTAAGTCGATTCACGTGTGCACTATGTGCAAACACAGTGTCAGACCGAACGGCTGACTTTGGGTTGGGGCGGCCCCTAGTGGAATCTGATCGAGCGGACTTGGGTGGGGGATGTCCTGGCAAAGAGACAACTCCAACGTGCCGCTTCGCGGCCCGTTATCGGGCTTAGGGGGGGGGGTGCTTTAAAGGAGGGCTCGACGGCCCGCTGACGCCATTTCTTAATGGGACATTGGCAACTAAGAAATGTTATTGACAAATAAGAATTGACTTTGGGTTGGGGCGGCCCCTAGTGGAATCTGATCGAGCGGACTTGGGTGGGGGATGTCCTGGCAAAGAGACAACTCCAACGTGCCGCTTCGCGGCCCGTTATCGGGCTTAGGGGGGGGGGGTGCTTTAAAGGAGGGCTCGACGGCCCGCTGACGCCATTTCTTAATGGGACATTGACAACTAAGAAATGTTATTGACAAATAAGAATTGTTATTGACCTATAAGAAATGTTATTGACATATATTTAAGAGAAAGTGAGTCCAAAATAAATTTCCATGTAAATCATTTCTAGTTGTATGATGTAAGCTTATTTTATTTTTCACATTGCTTTGGTGATGTGTCGGTTGAAGGGATATCTATTTCTGTGTTTTTAATTCATGTTTTTGTGTATTTAAAACAGAGTTTTTTCAACTCAAAAATAAATTTTCGGTATTTTGTTTTCTGACTAATTTAATATGTTTTAACTTAAATGTGTATAGTGTTGTTTATTTTATTGGATAATATCTTTTCATGATCTTTCGGAAGGATTCACCATTTGATTGTAAATAGACCAAAATGAACTACCTTTGCATAACTTAGTTATTAGTTGCATGAGTTTTGACTCTTTCAAAAGAGTAAAATGACAGGGCTAGTTTATCATTATATATTTAAAGGAAATGAAAATTTCATTTATAAATGTAATTTTACTACTAATGTTAAATATTCTCAAGTTTTATCCAAAAAAAATTCTAAATAAGATATGGTTATTTTTAGAATTATTTCATTGGTATGAAATTCCCCCCCCCCTCTTGACCCCCACCCAAGTATTGAAAGAATAGAATGGAATATGAGTAGGCCTACCGCATACATTAAAGTTATCATATCTTGTATAGTACACATAAATGTCATAGTGTATAATTTTTTAACAATAAACATTTAAAAATTTAATAGATCAATCTGCTTCATGTTTAAAAAATAAAAGATAGAGTTTTATAAACAAGCATTTTTGACTTTGATGTGAACAAATATTTATTTATTAGTGGTACGGAAAGGTACTTATTTTTGGGGTGGCACTTCATGTACTTCATTTAGTACATTTAATTGTTATGCATATTATTTTTGGTTTTCATTATTTGGGGCAGCACAATCAAGTACTGCCCCGGACATTATAAACTTTAGCTGCTCAACAGGATCTATTATTTGTGAAGAATAGGGGCGATGAATGAATGACAATGTCAGGACTGACTTACTAACAGAGCTATAAGAGAATGACAATGTCAGGACTGACTTACTAACAGAGCTATAAGAGAATGACAATGTCAGGACTGGCTTACCAACAGAGCTATAAGAGAATGACAATGTCAGGACTGGCTTACCAATAGAGCTATAAGAGAATGACAATGTCAGGAGTGACTTACTAACAGAGGCCATAAAGAGTGACTAGAAAATGACAATGTCAGGATATTACTATTTCAGTTATAGACCCAAATGTTTGCTCTGATTATATTTTTTTGTTGTCACATTTTGCTGGCTCTGTTTAAATATCAATTGTAATCGACTGTCAATGTTCTATGGATTGTGAATTTAAAGGAAGTTTTCATCGGAATCGTTTACAAATGAGTTTTAACTTTTGATGTTTGCAGTACAGGTATTTGATTCATATCACTGTAAATCATATCTCTTCAAGATAACTAGTCAGATTTTTTAATGCCATATTAATTCATTTTAATTCAAGTAAAATGTACAAAAATTTCTGTAAAAAATAGTTACTGGTTCTATACATGAACTTTTCATTTTCCCTTCGAATGGAACGTTTATAGAACAGGAGACAGTAACTCTTTTTTTGTTGTTGTTTTGTTACCCACCCGGACCTGGAACCGTTTTTTTTTGTAGGGTCAGAGGGTATGTGCCTTGTGGGCTAATATTGGGTACTCTGGTCATTACCTGGCTTGGTACTGTTGTCCTTCAAGTTAATATTGTAGTTCTTATAATCATTGGGGATGGGGGCTGATAGTTACATTAAGTAACAAGAAATTAAATAATGTTAAAACGTTTAAGGAGTAACCTGTTGTTGTATTTTAATGCACAGTTCAAATGATGAACACTGAAGATGAAAGTTTGGGTATGCATGTAAGTGGCTTCTGTACTTTGTTTTGATATCAGAGAAATATAGGCTGATAATCCCGCTTCATGAAGAATTTTAGTCGAGGCAGGCAGTAAGACTAATTTTGCTTAGAGAAAATTGTTAAATTGGATGCCAAATTTGCGCTACAAATGGATAAAAATGACTGCGTCACCTACCAAATTGACAGAATTTTGCTTTAAAATGTGCTTTTTAGTTTGCTTGTCAGGTTTGAAATCTCTAAGGGCCCCCGTATTCCGGTGAGTTTAAGTAGCTGCTTTGTTTGGTCCCAAAGATCACATTCATCACCCACTAAAAGTCAGCAGGCACCATCTGTTGAGCCGTCGAAAAATGATATTCAAACGGGTCTTTCAAGGCGTCAGAATGGGCTTAAATTTGTTTCTGTATTTTTTCTTGAATCTTGATGTTATCTTCATTCAAGAAGAGAACAGCAATCGAAATATTATTTATCAACCCACCCCAAAAAATACTTACATTTCTTCTTAAAAGAAGACACTTAAGCGTTCGCATAAAAAAAACTGTACAGGTTTTCCTTGCAAAAATATATTGATTTTGTTCACGTTATTTAAAATATGAAAAATGCGCCTATTTGAACACCCAATGTACATCATTTCAAACCTTCGCCCTAGAGTGTTATGGCTGTTCAAAAATGCTGTTACCTCTGCCCGTAGTTCGATCAAACGTTTCAGCGATTTTCCTCGAGACAACCACGTGACTTCAGCGTGGGGGGAAAAAAAATACAAAAAAAATAATTTAAAAATAGGCTTATACCGGTTGCTTACAAATAGGGGACATTTCATCCTTAATTACTTAATTATTAAATCGGGTGCGTTTCTAATTTTGTAACACAGTTTCGGGAACAACAGAGTAAAATGATTTATTAAAAACAATACTTAGCATTTATATATTAAATCCCCTACGACTTTTCTCTGTTCAATTTGAGAATGATAAACAATCTTCCCCAGCTTTTTCAATTTTTTTTTTTTTTGGTTTAAATTCATTTTAAGATAATAATTCAGTAGAAAGAATATATATATTTAAACAACGTATTTTTTTTTTTTAATCTAGTTTTTCGATTATCTTGTAAATGCCACTTTTTGGTAATAGTTAAACATAAATGCTATGGAATTGGTAAAATAAAATTGTTTGAAAGTATAATATCGAAGAGGCCAATTGTAATTGATCTGAATCAAAATTTAGTAGCTTGACAATCTAAATTAACATTTCAATCAACTAAATATTGAGAATATAAACTTTATTTTTATACGATTTTCTTCACAAAAAAATCACACATTAATAAATGTAATTAGTGAATGTTGATAATTTAAAGTAATTACAGCACAACTTTAAGCCCTTAAAATATACGAGGCCCAGGCCCCAGGCAGCTATATGGGTGGCAGACCTCACACGATGGCTCCGAGGTCAAGTGACACCTAAAATCTTAAATAGCATCTCTCCCGTTGCTCTCCAGTTAAGTGTATAGTGATGTAAAACAATATTTAACTATGTACAAAAATGCTTTCTTGCATTTACAATTATATAAAATTTTTCTGGGCCTATAAAGTTTTAAAGGACGAGTCTAAGCGAGATATTATCTCTCGACAAAAAAGCAAACCCTTTGGGCTCCCAACTGGAATGAACTTAGTTAATATTGGGATCGTGGAAGAGTTAGTGATGTCCTATTATTTTGGCTATTTCTAGCGCTTCCCACTCACAAGTCTGAAATATCTTCATCAGTGGCACTTAATCCCACTTAACCACAGCCCCAGCCTGCTCCACCACAGCCCCGGCCTGCTCCACCACAGCCCCGGCCTGCTCCACCACATTCTTCCATTTGGATCGATCCATCGCTTTCCGCCTCCATGCACGAACCCCCCAACCTTGGTGAGTCCTTGTCTGCATCGTTAATCCATCTCAGTCTTGGTCGACCGGTGAGCCGTCTGCCCCTAGGTTTCTGCTAGTAGATCGTTTTTGCTGCTCCAGAATCCGACATCCTTTCTATGTGTCCTGTCCAGGGCAGTCTGCCTGTTTTTTATTGTTGGGACAATGGATGAGTATTTGTACAATTGATATAGCTTTTGATTTGTACGGATTTCCAAAACAAAATTGTCTATCGTCGGGTCATATATTGAGCAGGTTCTCTGCTTTTCTGGTAGGAACCAAGTCTCACTTGCTTAAGTGACTACTGGTCTTATGATAGTGGTGTATATTGCCTCTTTGTTAGGCTGGAGAGTTTTTGCTTCGTAGTAGCTTTTGGAAATTAAAAATAAGAACCGTTGCATGCTGTTTTCCTTTATTTCACCTCCGATTGTATTTCCTTTTGCTTATTTATAGTCATCCCTAGATATTTTAAATTAGCTACTCTCTCAAAGATATGATTTTCATATTGATGTTGTCATCAGTGTGCGTATTTCCTGACATTATCATAAAATAATATATATTGCCTTCGATTTATTTACATCACGACCAGCTTTGACCGTGACATCTTCAAGTTCCCAGAGAGCTTTAATAATATCATTGCAGTTTCTACCAAGCAGCGCTATATCGTCTGTGTATGCCAGGTACTGCAGTGGCTGGCTTTATAAAGTTCCTTATGGTTCTTCTTCTTCTTATATTTGAGGTGCCCACGATCAATTTTTTGATCATTCTGGCTCCTGGTTTAAATTCAGAGTTTGCTTTCTCTTAGACAGGTTGCTGTCCAAGGCTAACGAGTCCCATCCAC